TTGTTGAGTATGAGTTTTGATACAGATAAGAAGGAACATATCTAAAGCAGAATAAAGTAATGGGGGCTGGGGAACTGATTGACAACTAAAGAGCATAGGATATAAGGCAAGTCTTGGCTATATTGATTTAGTATTCCAATTTTAACATTGACATGAAACAAAGATGGCTTCTTTGTTAGGTTTTTATCTTGAAAACACGTCTGGACTTATGTCTTATGCTTTAGGTTTTGGCATATCCCAAGATCTGTACTATTCTAGAGTGTAATAGCTTAGGAGTGAATATGATTTGAACGTAACTCATGTTTAGAGGTTGTCTAATATTGAGAACCAGGCAGATCCATCGACTCTGACCCTAAACATGTGGGGAATTTTTAAAGAATGTTCATATTCAAGTGGAAATCAAAGAAGCCCAACTAAAAGAATCATGAACTGACTGACATGACAACCGTGGATTGAGCAAAATTTCTTTTTAAAAGGACTATCTTGAAGACTCAAAACTTTGGAGGAACTAAGGGGACTGGCAGTGGAAGGAATCACAACGTGTGAAATTACTTAAATAAAAATTTATTGACTTTAAAAAATAATAATAATAAAAAATAAATTTTGCAGCTTAATGTAAGTGAATAGTAATTAAAATATCAATTATTGTAAATAATTATTCCATACATAGAAACTCTCTCCAGCTTTAGCAAACCTCAGTTGACACATTTATTCAAAACATATTTATTGATTGTCTGCTACGAGACAGGTGCTGTTCTAGGCACTAGGAATATAGTGGAAAACGACTCCCAGTTCCTTCCTTCATCGAGATTATACACTAGCAGAGGAGGGGGTGGGCAGGTAGTGTCAAATAAGCAAACACATGATTTCAGACAACGGGGAGACAAATATCAGTCAATCAGAGGCTATTTCCTTATCTCCTGACTCTAATCCCATATTCCTCATGGCAAAGGATACTCTGTCCCCCCTCCCACTGTCCAGGAACAGAAGCAGTGGCCATCCCCCTTTTTCCACAGCCAAAGACGCCACCAAGTTCTCCAACTTCTACCAGACTCCAATTCTTAATACCAGCCTACTGCTCCTCTCATAATCAGTCAATGAATACACAAATGTTTATTGAGCATCTACTATATTGCAGGATGAGGCTCTGTCAGGGCAGAGAAGAAGGGAAGAGAAAAGTAAGAATCCAGAAAGCATGCAATAAACCAAGCAGCCCAATGGTAATGACCACTCAGCAAGTGATACTGGCCCTGATATTGGTTCCCCTACATTAAACCCAGCTTATATGGGGTTAAAACCAAAAGCACCCATCCCTTTCCCTACTTCCTTAAGTTATATTCATATGTAAATATCCATTTCTTTAACCTTTATATCCCTGAGCTTCACAAGGCAAATAGAAGATACAAATTGTTAAAGCCCGGGTGGCCTCATGCTGGGCTCACACTCAAGTTTTGGCTCATTACCGTCCTTGAAGTTTATTACAGGGAAACTGATGTCCAGAGAATATCAAGAAACTGAAGCTCCCAGACCCCAACTCCGCTTCCTGGTGCCAGATCCACCCTCCACCACCAAGGCAGACAACCAAGGACACCCACCTGCAGATTCTTGTCTCACCATCCCCCTCCCTGCAAGTAGCCTCACAAGGCCAAACACAGGCTGGTGGGAAGGCGCCAACCAGCAAGGCCACAGGCTCCCCCTCCCCTACCTAAAACCCCAAATAAAAACCCCTACCTTTTTCCCTTCCAGGAGGGGAATCTGAATTTTAGCTCCCATCTCTTCGTCTGGCTGCCTTTCAATAATAAAAGCCCCTTTCCTTGCCGTAAGCCTGGCATTCCAGTTTTTTATTTTTGGCCCCTCTCATGTGGCAGGTAAAAGAACCTGTGTTTGTGTATGGTAACACAAGTATGTCCTCAACACCTCCTACCCAGCTAAGCACTGAAGGGTGAGTAGAACACAGTGGTGAGGAAGCTAGGATCCTTGCCACTATGGAGGACCAGTCTTGTAGGGAAGGCAAGACCATATTTCATTCAATCAAAGACACCCATTTCTTTACATTCTAAAATCTTTAAAATTGGACCTTATCTTACAGTGGTGATGTTTTCAACTGGATAAAATACAGTAACTGTAGCACAAAGCAGCATCGTGCCCTGAGAGCTGTGTAGAGCCTATGGCAATTAGAACAGTGGTCCCAAGTCAGGCTGCATATTAGAATCACCTGGGAAACTTAAAAAAATACCTCTACTGGGACCCCACCTGAGACCAACTGAATCAGTAAGGAGAGGGTGAGGCCGGGCATTGGTACTTTTTAAAGTACCCCATGCAATTCTAATACATAGCCAGGCTTGAGAACTAGGATGGCAATTTCAAACTAAATGGCAATTTCAAACACATTCCTCTGAGATTACATGAAGACTTTCCAAGAAGCACACTACATGGATACTTTAGGGCAGGGGTCAACAAACTAGGGCCTGTGGCTGAAATCTGGCCTGCGGCCTGTGTTTTTTTACCAGCTAGGAGCTAAGATGATTTTTACATTTTTAAATGGTTGTGTGAAAATATCAAAAGAAGAATAATATTTTGGGACATGTGAAAATTATATGAAATTCAAATGTAAGTGTCCATAAATAAAGTTTTATTGGAACACAGCCATACTCCTTGGTTTACTCATCGTCTGTGGCAGATTTGTGCTACACGGGAAGAGTTAAATAGTTGCGACAGAGGCTGTATGGCTGGCAAAGCCTAAAATATTGACGATCGATCGGACCCTTTACAGAAAGTTTGCTGATCCCAGCTTAAAGGGAACGGATTTCCAGAACTTCAACATCCCTGTGTCCTCTTTCAAGAACTTACCTGCCTAGGAAGGTGCCAGCTGTCAAGGGGTCAGGTGTGGGTAAAGGGTCTTCTCCTTTCCACCTCTTGTTCACATTCGCCCTTCTCTCACTTTCAAAAGAAAGGCAGGCCTCTCAACAGCCCTGAGGCATAAAAAGCCCCTAGGCACTAAATAGAGGAACAACCCCAAATACTGGTGTCTAATAGGCTTTTGAAGAAGCCTATTTTCAAGTCAGGTGGGTTCCAGATATTGCATTCCCAAAACTGTGGAAGACTCAAGTTTTCAGCTGCCAAACCATTAAAAATATTTGGTGACAGATGGCTACGTGATTTTTGGCATATAACTCAGAAAGAGGTCAAAGAATTGAGTAACATGGTTATGACAAAACTAGTGTAACAATTATTCATGTAAACGAGGTTTTTCGAGGCCTACATCTAAAATATTTTAAACGCTGAGTACTGACTCATTCTATGAATAAGTAGTATTTGCCCCCAGATACAGGCACTAATTAAGAGGGAAAAATCATTCATCTCAGAAAAAATGAATTTCAAATAACAGTTTGTTATATTTAATAATTACTTATCAAAATGTGTATCATATTTACATTATTCTGATCAATTATGTGCTAATAATTGTAACTGTGAAATGACGATCTCAATTTCTGACTGGCTGTTCCTCCCCACTTGGGCGCCTCCACCGGGCAGCTCACAGCAACCCAGACAGAGGCTGAGCGACCAAGGGTCGTGGTCTTTTTGTAGCCTAATCTTGTAAGCGACGTCCCACCATTTTTGTCTTATTCTATTCATATTCTACTGTTGGAAACAAGTCACTAGGCCCAGCCCTCACTCAAAGGGAGGGAGACACAACAGGCCGTGAATACCAGGACGTGGGATCGTGGGAGCCATCTTAGAAGCTGCCTGCTACAAATGTCAAATTTTAATAACAATTATATCCTCTACTATTTAAACTTAGGCTGAAAAATTTCAGATGTCATCTTAAAAGTGTATGAGAAATGCAGTTTTCCAAAATTCTTTTAGAAATAAACAAGCAAAGACATTTGAAGTCCACGGAGCTTTAGGCCTAACTTAGCTGGGTCCTGCGAGGCAGCGGGGCCTGACCGAGATGGTCACCAGGGGCCGGCCGGCAGCGGCAACCGGGTGGCGGGTGCGGGGACAGTGCGAAAGCCCACCGCCCCAGCCCCGGGAGCTCCAATCCGGGCGGGTGGAAAATACAGGGAAAAGCTACGAGCGTCCGGCTTCCGCGGGCGTCAAAGGCCAGGCAGAGGCGTTTAGACTTGATAGGGAGGGAAACGCGCACGACGGTGGGTCTAGGATGAGGGGAAGAGGCTAAAAAGCGCAGTTTTCAAAGGTACATGTGTCAGGAGCGTGTAGGACGGTCCGCGGAGGGGCAGTGGCTGGAACCCAGGGGGAAAGGCGCGCCGGCCTCAGAGCGGTGCTAGCGGTCCGGAGCGGAGAGGATGCGGTCGGTCAGCACACGCTCTAGAGGACGAACCCTCAGAGCGGAGCCTGACCAGATGTCATGAGCCGATGACAGGCCTTCAGAGCAAGCCCCTTGGGAAACACGGCGGCCTGGGGCGCTGTGGGGACGCAAAATGGTGAGACCAGGGGCCTGCCCCCCGGTAAGTCAGTCTCCCGGAGCTGGCGCCACACGTGCGGGAAAAGACTGTCCGCGCCCCGCCCCCGCGCCCCGCGGAGAACGGCGTCGGAGCCCGCGCTGCCGCTGCCCGAGAGAAGCAAGGCGGCCGGCAAGGCGGGGACGGAGAACACCGACCTCCTTGGAGTCTCGGGTCGGGGTCTGATGTCAAAAGACCGAGGAGAAAAAGAAGAGAGGTCTGACGAGGAGCGACAGCAGAGCAGAAAGGACGGACGCCAAGCTTTCCGGCTCTCCGGAAGGAGCGAGGCCGGCCCGGGCGCGGCGGGGGCGGTGCGGGCC